ATATTTTTTAAAAAACAAAACACTTCATTTGAGAACATGATGAAATCAGTGTGGTTGAAAGAGAACTTGAAGTTCTGGGTCTCAAGTGGTATCCGGGCTCCAGACACTGAGTCACCTTTGACATTTGTTCTTTCTCTAGTGGTGCCTCACTAGGGCCCCGTGTGTCGTGAGCCCTCAATAAATGCTTGCGATGATGACCAGTTACTTAATTAAGGCACTCGTTTCAGGATGTGTTCTGTAGAAAAGTCAAACAAATTAAACTTTAAATGTAAACAGAGAGAGTGGTTTTTATCAAAGAAATGTCTCACATATTTGCAGAGGCAGAGACATCCCAGGTTTGATATAAAGCTCGAGGCTTTTGTACAGCTCGAAGCTTTTCCTGATTGATTAGCTGTAGGAGGTGATGATCTCAAGATCAGCAGGTGAGATGGCAGTCCTCTGACTGCAAAGGGGAATGAACCCAAGGTTGACAGGTAAAATGGCAGGCTGCTGATAACTCCCAGGTTTGGCAGGCAATAGAGCAGGCCAATGGTTCAAGTCCCAAGAGCCAGAGGTTGGAGATGCAGGAACCAGGTCCAGCAAAATACAAGCTAGCTTTTCCACAGTGACCACTTTTATTAGAAGCAGACCCCACCCTCAAGGAAACTTCCTTTTAATTGATTGGACCAGGACTATGATTTGGGTAAAGGTGTTGCATCACATCTAATCGTCTTACAACTGATAGGCTACTCATAGTGGATCTCAGTACGTAAGTACTTACATTGTGTTAGATTTCAGAATAGGGGATTACTAGGTCTTAACTGTCAAATCCCTGAGACACCCTGCCTACCCACATTGACACAAAACCTTAACTATCACAGGACCTTTTAAGCAAGAAGGGGTCATTTAGTGCTAAAATTCTTGCTTTTCATGCAGGAGATCCAAATTTGATTCTGAACCAATGAGCCTCCTTTGCAGCCCACCTGTTTGTCAGTGGAGGCATGTGTGTTGCTATGATGTTAAACGGGTTTCAGCAAAGCTTCCAGATTAAGATGGACTAGGAAGAAAAGCCTGAGGATCTACTTCCAAAAAGTAGCCAACCAAAACTCTAAGGATCCTAATGGCTCAATCTGTAACCAAAAATGGGTTGGTGCCAAACCTGCAATCGTTTATTTATTTAGTTTAATATTACATAAGGACCTAGTAACCATTTCCTGAGTTTACAGTGCAATGTAAAATTTATCTGTGTTGCTAATTAGATATCTTACGGCACACAAATGTGATCAAAGTGGCCATTTTCTTAATTATGTCATAAAACACAAGTGCCTATTTTAGAACAGTGGTACAGTTTAAATGCTAAAGCAATTTGTGATTTGTAACAAAGAATCTTGTATATATGTTTTAGTTTACTGTGCATGGGGTGGCCCTTAATCTGGAGAACCCCACTGTAGCCAACAGCAACACAACAATTAAGCAAGCATGGATAGATTCCCATTCTGTCTCATTTTACAACGCGTGTCTCTAGGGAACTTCTACCAATATTATCTTGACTGCTAAGATGCTGACAGAAACAAGGAGTGGGATTAGCAAATTCTTGTCAAAAAAGAAAATATTTTTGAAATGAGACTCATGCGCTTAAGACTATAAACTTGAATCCATTGAAAGTGTTTTTCTTTTGATTGAAAAAGAGACTTTATAAAGTATGCTCTGTTCTTTATCTTGACCAAGAATCCACGCCTAATAAGGTAAACTAGTAGAGGTTGAGAGAAGTGGAGAAGAGGGCGAAATCTTAGTAATCCCTTTATATAACAGAGGGTTGGTTGAGTTTTTGTTTGTTTAACAAATCTACCCTTCTTGTAGTCCCAGCAGTCAGAGTTGATTGAGGAGTCCTGTTTTATATAAAAGCAAGATAGGAAAGGTTAAGGCAGGGGCCCAGAACCTCCTGCAGAGCAAAGCACAAGGCGTAGGGTGGGCCCCAGAGCTCGCAGTGAGCACTAGTCGCCACTTCTCTTCCTTCCTTTCTGGGAGAGCACTGTTCTGCTATCCAAAACATAATGTAAATTAGATTATTTTGAGCTAAATTTGGGGGGGGCGGAGATTAGGAAAAAATAAAGACAAGTTTAAAATACTAAGTAAGAGACTACCCTTTCTATGTTCAGTACAACATTCTATAAAACATTAGATTGATTTTCAGTGCCTTACTGATGGAAAGAAGGGGGTGGTGGTGGTGGAAATAGAGGTCCAGTCATTTGAAGTTAGGCAATATATTTGACCTAAAATAACCTAACCTGTTCTATATTGGAAATTGGAAGTCATACATTGGGTATGCTAAATATGAGAAAGTAGAATACTGTATTCATGGTAAGATCAAGGCCTTGAGATCATCACACACTATGTTCTAGCACACTTTTCAGACAGTATCATACGGATTGTCAGTTTTGGTGTACGTTTTTATCAAGTAAAGAAACACCAGGATAACTACTCCCCTTGACATTGCTGCTATTAAGTAATTTTCTAGCCAAAGAATGTGCTGTAAATCTAAAAAAAAAAAAAATCAGCTTTTTACCTAGATCCTAGCTGAGTAAATAAAACTAGTAAGTAAAACTAAGTAAGTAAATCCTAGCTGAGTAAGTAATACTAGAAACCAAACTAGCAACTAACCCTCATGCTGTTCATCCCCAGAAAAATCTGGGTGTATCCATAAACTTGTGAGGACAGAAACTGTGTCCTTCCACTGGTTTCTGTCTAGACATGAATTAATGTCAAGGGCAAGAACCAAACAGGAACCATCCAAGTTGCTGGTTCTCATGAGCATTTTGAATGGGACAAAAACATGGCTTTGAGCAAATGAGACCTAATTCTTGCTTATCCTAGAATTTATGTCCAAACCAAATGAAGTTCACTGCCAACGAGTTGATTTCCATGCAGAGCTACTCTGTAAGACAGGGCAAAGCCACTCCTGTGGGTTTCCAAGGCTGCTAACGTTTACTAGGAGTAGAAAGTCAAAGAATCGTGTTGAACTCCTGACTGCTCTTACCAGCGTAACCCACTACACCTCCGAGGCTCCCCACCAAGTAGAGACTCTCATTACACTGTCTCACTAACAAGAGGTAACGTTTCCTCGAATCTGTGTTTGTTAACATGCTAGGGTGACAAATATGAAATCAGTCTAAATGTCTTTTAAATACGTGGATGAGGGAGGACTAGCAGTCATGGGAGCATTTCTTTTTTGGGTGTTCTGAGGTTATATAAGCAACATCCTTTTCACTAAAGGTGTGAGAAACGGAAAGGCTGAGGGGAAACAGTCACTGGTAGTCTTTCCGCTGAAACGCAGCCCCAGTGGCACTTCTACAAGCCGGTATTTATCTTTCCCTCTGGAGAATGAATCTTTAAAATTTGTGTGATCTTGCACACATACAGTATTGCACAGAAAGCTTCAAATAGTTGGACAGTGATTACTAGTGCCAAACATGAAAAATGAAACACTGCTGCCAGCTTCTCCCTGCCCCTTGGCCTAGCTTCCTCCCGGAAATCACTGTTACTCTGCCTGTTGTGGCAGCCAACACCCGGCTCTTTCGTATGTGTTTGCCACCCACCTCATATGCACCCTGAAACGACCCACTTTCAATCTGTTTTTGTTTCCTATGTAATTGTGCTTATACTATATATTTTTTCTTTTGTGCCATGCTTAAAAAAAATCAATATTGTGTTTGTAAAATCTACCCCTGTGTAAGCTGTAGTTTAATTTTTGTAATGATATGATACTTTGCAATGATATAAACGTGCTGCAATGTATTTATCTATCTATTGATGGCATTTGAAATGTTTCCAGGATGAGAATATTCAGAATAAGGGCCTTAAGGCGTGTGTCTTGATCCAGATATATGTGAGAGTCTTTCGGGCAATTATATCTAAGCGTTTAATGGGTAGCTCATAGGGTATTTTGACATTTTAAAAAGCAATTTCTAAGAGCTGTTTCTCCCATTTCATAATTTAATAACCATTATTAAAAAAATAATATTCCATTTGTGGCAAAATCAGTGTCTATTTAACCAGTTTCTGGTCAGCCATTTCTTTGAGTCCCTCCCCACCCCCAAGTAATAAAAAATAACACTGTAAATCTGATTGCTGATATATGCATGTGCTTACTTTACAAAAAAATTGCCAAGCTTACAATTTACTCTCTTACAATTTTATTATTTGCAAAAACAAAAACAAAAACAATTTTATTATTTGCGTATTCAATTGATTTCTATACTTTTCTATTTGATTTCAAAAAATCAATTTTATTGACACATAATCCACATATCATACAATTCAATAAGTCAATCAAATCAAGAAGAGTTGTACAATCATCACAATCAATTTTAGAATATTTTCTTCTTTCTGTACTAATTGTTATTAGCTCCCCATTTCCCCACAACCTTCCCTTCCATATCCCCAAGAAGCCTTTAAGGTATATAGAGGTCATATTTTATAGCCTTGTCTCATGTAATCAATTTATTTCTCCATTTTCTCACTTACTTATAAAAGTGACACACAATATTAAAGTAAAAAGTGCTTTTAAAAAGCAGAAAAGGTATATCATTTCATGAGTCTTTTACATAGAAAAATTTGTTGTTATTTCTTTGCAATGAAAGATTTCAAAGACAATGTATTTAAAAGGATATTTCGGTGATTGTTTTTAAAAGCACTGACCATTTTCCTTGCCAGGAAAGTTTAGGGTTTCAATTTGGCCTTTCTGTTAAGGTTCATTTTTTGGCCATGCAATTCTGTAGAAAACTGAAATGAAAGTGGCATCTTCCCCAAATTCCACTCTTTGAATCTCTTTCGTTTTTGGCTTTGAGAACAACGTTAGCTTGTCCAAGTTGGCTTCCTCACTTCCTGCAGGACCTCACCTCTCACCAAAAGCTTTTAATGTGCTTTGACATAGGAGCCAAGGTTGCTAAGAGACCTGTGCTGAGCACATTTCTGTTTCAGCAAGATCTGAGGGGGAGAAAAGCTAGGAGCGGCGCTGTCTAAGACGACCTGCGATTAGGTCAGGTGAGCAATGGGCCTTTCTTGACTCGCTCCTCCATGCCCTTGTCCTGTGTCTCCGTTTCTGATTCCGCGGAGGACAGTTTGAAAACCTGGAGGATGAGATTACTGGGACTGCGGTCCTTTGCCTCGACCGTGAGAATCGCTTGAGGTCCACGTTTGCTGTTTGCAACAAGAGAGCCACTTGCATAGGTTATTCTTGTTCTTTGTTTCTGAAGCACGCAAAAGGAATAGTGGAATTTCACCGAAATTCTAGGCATTTATTTTGCCAATGATCACTGTATGAATCACTATATTAATCAGGGCAAACCATTCCCTCTTTTAGGAACAGTGCAATTTATTACAGAAATGAACCAAGATTACTGAAAGTGGGGGCAGTCACTGGAATAATTCTTATCTATCTACAATTCTTTTTCTTTTAAATTTAAACTTGCCTTTTTGGATTTTGCGTGAAAAACAAAAATCTTTTCCTATTGAAATCTGCCTGTTTCCTTTAAGGCATTGGGGTTCATTTTGAGCATATACAATACACAGGCACTGTTCTGTAAAGTTTTGAAAATTATTTGATTTTTGTGGTCTTATAGTCTCGTGGGAATGTGTTAAAAAAGGTTTGAAGCACTCTATCTGATAAGCATTCAGCAAAATGTTCCAGCACCTTGAAAATAGATCATGAATTAATATCTTTTAAAATTCCAGCCCTAAATACACACACACACACAAACATACAAATTGATATATAAATTTGGTTTTTATTTTTTAAAATTTAAATCATTATCCACCTTTCCCCATGTCTTTAAATCTAGTTTCCTCCTAACACCAACTAGGCAGGTTGTAGGAATGGCAAGGAACTTTGGTGTATACCAAAGCATGTGGTTATAGCGTAACCACTCAAGTAAGTAGAAAAAATATTTTAGTTCATTGGCTGGTTACAGATTAGTAGAGAATTTTTCTGGTAGACATTTCTTTGTCTCTATTTCTTTACAAATAGTAGACTGAGTGGAAATAATCCATTTTTAAATGTGCTCATTTGCAGAACCTTCTCTCTGTCTCTCTCTCTCTCTCTCTCTCTCTCTCTCTCTTATCCTAGGGAGAAGCATTCTGGACATGCCATGTAGAAACTGGATATTAATTTCTACTACTACTACAGAAGATGAAATTATGGGGAAATTTCTAAAAATTTTGTTGATTATCTTTGTCGATTTAATGTCTATTATATATGTTGTTATAACTTCTTAGAAAGCTGTCTCCTTTTATTGTACATATGCCTTTCATACCAGTGAATTAAAATTTCTATTTAATACGAGTGATGGAAATTTGACTCTTCTCTATTCCACCAGGATAGTGCAACGATAAAAACAATATAGCAAATATTCACATAAACTGGAGGGTAAAATTTTTCTTCTGAAATGATATAGATCACTGAATCATGAAGCTTTTTGATTTTTAAGATGGTTGTCATTTGGTGGTTGACCAATACTTGTAGGTGAAATTTTCAGTGCATTCATTTTTTATGGTTGTATATCAATGTGAAATCTAATGTGGTTCTATTTTTAACACACAAAGCTACAGTATCAGCTGCATAGGCTTTACATACAACATACCAATAATTTAGATCCAATTTTGTGCAATACATGTGAGGGGACTTCAAAGTTTGTGGGGAAAAGTCTACTGTCTTCTTATTCCATCTTCTAAACACTTTTTGAAGGTCCCACGTATTTCATCTTATTTGTAGATCGATTTTTCTTAACCCTGAGCAATTAAATAAGTGAGAAATATTTCTATTAACAAAGTGAATTAGTTAGTTTATTGTGCCAACCTGGCTGATAAACACATGTGGGGTTAATTGAAAGGCGGAGGGGTAAATGGCTCGATGAGCCTGGCCTTTCTAGTTCTCAGGTCTCTTGCTTTCTGATGGTCTGACCAGGGTGCAGCTGCCTTAGCCAGTTCCCTGCTTTAGCTGGCAAGGCTCACTTCCTGCAAGACATCCCTGAGGAGAAGCCACATGGACCTACCCCGATGCAGCCCTGGGTGCTGGAGCAGCCGTGTGGAGCCCCCTGCCAGAGCTGAGATGCTTACACACTCACTGACTCAGCCTTCATTCTTCAATGCGTCTGTTTTGTGAGATGGAGGAGGACTTTGTGGATTGGTGTTGGACATATGGGTTAATGGGTTAATGTTGGACTTGTGGGCTTGGGCAGGATTGTGTTGGGATGTTGTCTTTCTTTTTTCTTTTTAAATAGTTTTATTAGGGGCTCATACAACTCTTATCACAATCCATACATACATCAATTGTGCAAAGCACATTTGTACATTCATTGCCCTCATCATTCTCAAACATTTGCTCTCCACTTAAACCTCTGGCATCAGCTCCTCATTTTTCCCCTCCCTTCCCGCTTCCACCCCCCATGAACCCTTGATAATTTATAAATTATTATTTTGTCATATCTTGCCCTGTCCAAAGTCTTCCTTCACCCACTTTTCTGTTGTCCTTCCCCCAGGGAGGAGGTCACATGTAGAGCCTTGTAATCAGTTCCCTCTTTCCAACCCACCCTCCTTCTACCCTGGATGTTTTCTTGATGCGCACTTACCCTTTATATAAAACTCTCTCTTATACATGAGTTTCTGTGGATTTGTTTCTCTAAAGTACACAGAATAATACACAGAGACTTAGCATTTGGAATAGAAATGCTTAACGATGCTTTGAAGGGTATCATCCTCTGCGGTTTTTAACTACCAGTAACGTAACCAAACTCCCCCAAGATGTCCGAACCTCGAGTAGGTTTGACCCACTGCCTCCCGCAGAGACACTGCAAAGCCCCAGTCATATTTCAGTTTGGGGGATGAGAAATCGGAAACACGTGGAACTTAGGCCACTGGTCCAACCCTGCTCTTTCCACTGCTACAAATTGCTGTGGCCTCAACATGGCCCAGCCCGGGGATCTGGCCCACTCTCCGGCTTTCTCGGAGAGCTCTGATCGGTTGGCATTTCCCATCCATGGTAGCAACAGGGTAGATTGCACGATGCTTGCCCCAGGCAGGGGCTCAAAAAGTAGTAAATGAGTGAATAAGTGAGAACAGAGGAAACAACCTTTCCTGCTTGGACCAAAAACGAAGGCAGGGAGCAAGGGAGCAAAGGGAGAGAGCAAGAAAGAGAAATACGTAGGTGATTCTTGGAAGACTGCAGAGCATAAAATGGACATGTTTTCTATTCAGGACTAATGCGCCAAGTGTGCTGGGTCTTGTACCGCACACATGAATCCGACAAGGCGAGTGTTTGTTGGCCTCAGATTGCAGATGAAGACACTGAACCATGGAGCATTGTGCTGGTTTCAGACCACGATGAGAAAGCGGTAGAACCAGCTCTTGAGCCTTCAACAGTCTGTCATCCCAGATTGCCCCTACATGTCAATAATGATGCGTGAATAGGATAAGCAGGAGTGCAGATAGTTAACAAAACTGACTTACGGTGAACCGTGTGGGCGAGTGTGAGGTTTCCCTGTGCCCACGCGGGGTGTGTGTGTGTGTGTGTGTGTGTGTGTGTGTGTGTGTGTGTGTCAGGCGTGCGTCAGGCATGCCTCCCACTCTACCGGTCTCTCCCCTGGGCTGACCCCGCCAGGCCTCCCAGGGCACGCTACTTCTCTGCTGCGTCTGCTCCTTTGTTCCAATGGCCGCGCTGAGCTCACAGACAGTTCTCACGGCAAAAGAGGTTTATTAGGGGAGTTAGCAGGTTACCACAAGTCAGGATCGGTGAACAGTAAGGCATGGCTTTGATGGAGGTATGGTTGGTTTGTGTTTTTTTCTTTCAGGTGATGGTACACCCCGC